TGTCGTGGTTTAACCCACAGCCAGACAGCTTGTTACCCACTCCCCCCCCTTCTTGCCCTCCCCCTACTCCTGGGGGAACGGAGAGGAGAATCAAAAAGAAATGCAACTCCCACGGCTTGAGATAAGAACAGTTTAGTAACTAAGGTACAATACGAATCACCACTGCTACCACCAACGACAACAATGATAAGAGAAAACAGCAAAGGAAAGGAGTACAATACCACGCGCCGAACCGCCAGTCCGACCCGGCCGACCCCCTCTCCTTCCGGGTTCCCCCCCGGTTCCCCCCTCGGCATGACGTGCTGTGGTATGGAATACCTCTTTGGTCAGTTTGGGTCAGGTGTCCTGTCTCTGCTTCCTCCCGGCCTCCCCTCCTCCCTGGCAGAGCATGAGACTCACAAAGTCCTTGGCCAAACCAAAACATCATTTTTATCAGCTTTGTTCCGAGCCCAAAAGTCAAAACACAGCACTGCACCAGCTACCAAGAAGGAGAAAAAATGACTGCTGCTGCTAAACCCAGGACATTATCCACCCCTTATTCCATACCATTCACGTCATGCTCAGATCCTACATTTTCAATATACCATCACTCCGATCTCAGTGCACTTCTATCTTAGTGCAAAGACTAGTCCCTATAAAGCTGCTGATTCCATCTGGTCCATGATGTCAGGCGCCATCTCTTGTAACAGTCTTTCAGAACAGGAGAGGCCGTGTGCAGTATCGGGTCGTTGCCTGCTGATGCTGATCATTCCCTTACTGTAGAACTTGTCTGGTTCTGTCAAAGTTCGTTCTCTCTTGGGATGATGGTTGGAGGGAAGTCAGGGCTAGTTGCTGGTGGCCTGAAGACATCTGGTTGATGGGCTATTAAAGTATTACACAGCAGGCAACAACATACAATTAAGTTCATTGGCTGTTTTCCCCTAAAATTAAATCCCCTTGAGGTACACATCGGACTTCCCCATCATCCTGCATTACCCACCAAGTGTATCCAGGTCCCTGAGCAAAAGCAATCCCACGAGTGGGTTTGCCTTTACTTGAAGCAGGAATAACCCAGACTGCCTTCCCCAGCAAATTCTTCATATGCACCACAGGAACTTTGTCCCCCTCTACAATATGTAAAAGTTCCGATTGGGCTGGGCCAGCTCTGTTGGCAGATCCTCTAGTGTTGACCAACCAGGTGGCCTTTGGTAAGTGTGTATCCCAATGCTTGAAAGTTCCCCCACCCATTGCTCTCAGTGTAGTTTTTAACAGCCCATTGTACCTTTCGATTTTCCCAGAGGCTGGTGCATGGTAGGGGATGTGATATACCCACTCAATGCCATGCTCTTTGGCCCAAGTGTCTACAAGGTTATTCCGGAAATGAGTCCCGTTGTCTGACTCAATTCTCTCTGGGGTGCCGTGTCGCCACAAAATGTGTTTCTCAAGGCCCAGGATAGTGTTCCGGGCAGTGGCATGGGGCACAGCGTAAGTTTCCAGCCATCCGGTGGTTGCTTCCACCATGGTAAGCACATGGCGCTTACCTTGGCGGGTTGGTGGCAGTGTGATATAATCAATCTGCCAGGCCTCCCCATATTTATACTTCAGCCATCGTCCTCCATACCAAAGAGGTTTTAACCGTTTGGCTTGTTTAATGGCAGCACATGTTTCACACTCATGAATAACCTGGGCAATAGTGTCCATTGTTAAGTCCACCCCTCGATCACGGGCCCATCTATATGTTGCATCTCTGCCCTGATGGCCTGAAGTGTCATGGGCCCACTGGGCCAAAAATAATTCACTTTTATGTTGCCAATCTAAGTCCATCTGAGCCACTTCAATCTTAGCAGCTTTATCCACTTGTTGGTTGTTCTGGTGTTCCTCAGTGGCCCGACTCTTGGGTACATGGGCATCTACATGACGTACCTTCACCACCAGGTTTTGCACCCGGGCAGCAATATCTTTCCACAGTGCAGCAGCCCAGATAGGTTTACCTCTGCGTTGCCAGTTGCTCTGCTTCCATTGCTGCAACCACCCCCACAGGGCATTTGCCACCATCCATGAGTCAGTATAGAGATAAAGTACTGGCCACTTTTCTCGTTCAGCAATGTCCAGGGCCAGCTGGATGGCTTTCACCTCAGCAAACTGACTCGATTCACCCTCTCCTTCAGCAGTTTCTGCAACTTGTCGTCGAGGATTCCATACAGCTGCCTTCCATCTCCGATGTTTTCCCACAATACGGCAGGACCCATCAGTAAACAAGGCATACTGCTTTTCACTTTCTGACAGCTGATTATATGGTGGGGCCTCTTCAGCACGCATCACCTCCTCCTCTGGTGACATCCCAAAATCTTTGCCCTCTGGCCAGTCCATGATGACTTCTCATAGGCATCTTCATTCATCAGTTCATCAAGTTCAGCAGGGTTTTCCACAGTCATCTTGATAAGCCAACCATCTTGGTAACAGGATTTATTGACAAGCCCTGGATTATCTGCAAGGGCATCGTTAATTGCAGTCACTTCTCCTGAGAGAGGAGAGTAGAGTTCACTAGCAGCTTTCACACTTTCCAAAGCTCCAAACTCATCGTGTTTACTCAATTTTGTCCCAATTTCTGGAAGACTACAGTAAACAACATCTCCTAATGCCTCCTGTGCAAAATTGCTGATTCCTACTGTTCCAATGCCATTTTCAACAGATATCCATTCATGCTTGTCTGTGAATTTGCGGGCAGACAGCACCAGCGAGCTGGTGGCCAGCCTCCTCGCCGCGAGCACCCGCGGCGGCGGCGAGAGGCGCGGGCAGCGCGGCGCCAGACCCGGCCCCACAGCATGGCCACATCTGGGTCACTCCTCACAATGCTGATTTATTGGCTCTCAAAGTTGTTCCTCTTGATCTCACAGCTTCAGAATGTTGTAATTTACTTAGATCTGGTATTTGCTGTATTAGTGTTTTTCAAGTGTGGGGCTTGGGCTAAAGTTCTTGTCTCAGTGTACTTTATGATGATGACTTGTAACACAATAGAATTATTGATCATGAAACTTATCTGGTTTATGTTCCCAGTATGGTCACCACCTTTATACTTTGGGAGGTATATAATAGAAATGCTTAGCAATTACACATATTCTTTCTCCTTCTCGGGTGGTCAACCTGTGAAGGAGGCATTCTTTTACCCTCCCGGCCTCCCCTCCTCCCTTTCTCAAAGACTTCTTCTGCTGTATCGCCCCACACTATAATGTCATCAATGTATTGCAGGTGTTCTGGTGCTTGCCCCTGTTCCAGTGCAGTCTGAATCAGTCCATGGCAAATGGTAGGGCTATGTTTCCAGCCCTGGGGCAGTCGGTTCCAAGTGAACTGGACACCCCTCCAAGTAAAAGCAAACTGTGGCCTGCACTCTGCTGTCCTCGTTTTTAGGGTAAAAGAATGCCTCCTTCACAGGTTGACCACCCTAGAAGGAGAAAGAATATGTGTAATTGCTAAGCATTTCTATTATATACCTCCCAAAGTATAAAGGTGGTGACCATACTGGGAACATAAACCAGATAAGTTTCATGATCAATAATTCTATTGTGTTACAAGTCATCATCATAAAGTACACTGAGACAAGAACTTTAGCCCAAGCCCCACACTTGAAAAACACTAATACAGCAAATACCAGATCTAAGTAAATTACAACATTCTGAAGCTGTGAGATCAAGAGGAACAACTTTGAGAGCCAATAAATCAGCATTGTGATGAGTGACTATTAATCCGGTCAGATCTGTTGTTATCTCAGCCCGGCTAGCTCAGTCGGTAGAGCATGAGACTCTTAATCTCAGGGTCGTGGGTTCGTGCCCCACGTTGGGCGCCAAAAAGAACTGTCGTGGTTTAACCCACAGCCAGACAGCTTGTTACCCACTCCCCCCCCTTCTTGCCCTCCCCCTACTCCTGGGGGAACGGAGAGGAGAATCAAAAAGAAATGCAACTCCCACGGCTTGAGATAAGAACAGTTTAGTAACTAAGGTACAATACGAATCACCACTGCTACCACCAACGACAACAATGATAAGAGAAAACAGCAAAGGAAAGGAGTACAATACCACGCGCCGAACCGCCAGTCCGACCCGGCCGACCCCCTCTCCTTCCGGGTTCCCCCCCGGTTCCCCCCTCGGCATGACGTGCTGTGGTATGGAATACCTCTTTGGTCAGTTTGGGTCAGGTGTCCTGTCTCTGCTTCCTCCCGGCCTCCCCTCCTCCCTGGCAGAGCATGAGACTCACAAAGTCCTTGGCCAAACCAAAACATCATTTTTATCAGCTTTGTTCCGAGCCCAAAAGTCAAAACACAGCACTGCACCAGCTACCAAGAAGGAGAAAAAATGACTGCTGCTGCTAAACCCAGGACAC